GTATTTAAAAAAAAAAAAAAAGCAAAAGGACAGGAAGCTTTCACAACCTGTCTTGTCGAAAGCAGCAGGGGCAGCCCGCGCCTCTGCCGTCTGAGCCCGTTTACGTACTGAAATGCTCACATCGCGGGGGTCTCACCGCGAGCAGCACGGGCGCGTGGGGTGGGCACCCGGGCAGCCCCCGGGGAGCCCCATCAGCGCCCCCAGGGATGACGCTGGGCAGCTCGGGGAGGTTCGGGAGGAATTCCATCCCGGGGGAGGAATTGCTGCTTCTGCGCCTCGCTTCACCGGCCCGCAGCGCGCCTGGATACGCGCGCTCCAGTACTGCAGAGCAGCTAACAACTTGCTTACTTGGAAGCAAATAGCAGTATCCCTGACGCCAGGCAGGCGCTTTCCCGAGCAAAGGGGACGGTCAGAGCTCTCACACGTGCAGAGGGGCCGGCCCCTCGTCCGGAGGAACAGAGGGGTTGAGGTGGGAAGGGACCTCTCCAGATCATCCAGGCTGGAGGCAGCTGGCACCTCATCTGACTTGTGTTTCTCATCCTGCTGCATTGAAATTTTACCGGCATTTCGGATACTGCACGCTGTATTGGTGCATTGGCCAACAGGATTTAATGCTGTTTTTATACGTACCACGTTTCATTCCTCCAAAAATTGCAGCTTATAACCTGTTCGCCTTAATCTTTTACCACTTACAGCTCAAAGAAGGAAAATAAGTCGGCAACACTCGCTATTCTTCGTCAAAGACGTAGTTAGGAAGGAATTCATTTACACTCTGTGTATTTGCTAAAGGAGCAATGCTGGCCACGCTCTTATCTTACAATCCTTTTCTTAGTGTAGGACACCTGCACGTTAGGTCCCACTCACTTGAAACAAGAGGAGACATCATTTCCAGGCAGATTCCTGACATGCACTTTTTTTTTCCCCCTTCGAAGGATATTCGAAGGATACACAGGAGTTTGATCATCATGCTTTTTGTATCAATGAAGCCTTATTTAACCAACATGAAATTCTTCTCATATCTCTTCCCCTAATTAATGCACACTCCATGGATGATATATTTCTTTTCCTTCTGCCTAAAGTAGCAAATAGGGCATTATTAGCAAAGGCGTACCTGAAAACTGAGTGCAGATTGCAGAAGAATATGTCCTGGGAATATACCCTCAGAATGTGTAAGAATGTGCAGCTGGGGAAGAAAAACTGATTTAAAAAAACAAAGAAACAAACAAAACAAAAMCCCAACTTTGGCTGTGCCTATGTTAGGTGGCAGTTAGGTGCACTGGGCCCAGATCCATAGAGGAGAGCGGCAGTTTTTGGGTCTCCTGCACCCAAACGGTGGGGTTGCTTTGGACTATGTTGTGTCCGGCCCCCAGGGGCTGAGCATCCTCACTGTGCCTGTGTCTCAAAGCTGTCTGGAGGGTCGGGCCACACAGGTCCTCAAATGCTCCACAGGTCCTCCGTGATTCAGACAGAGGTGTTAGCAGCTATTTTTGTTAAACAAAATCATATCGGTGCTGCCGTCATCACTAGATAGTAAAAGCAGCAGACTGGAGTGGATTGGCAGAAGCAAAAAAAGTTCTAGGAAATATCGGAAAACTATATTGAGAAGCACAATAATTCCTGAAAAGTTCTAGTAATATCCTTCCTCCTCTTATGCATTTCTTTTGAATCCTTTATTCATAGGGGCTATTCACGATGGAGAGAGAAATGACAGGTAAAGCCACGATGTTTTTTCTTAATGAAAACAACTCTCTGGGGGACATTAAAAATTAAAATGGATGTCCAATAATGTTAAAAAAAATTAAAAAAGAGCTATAGGCTGTAGCAAAATGAGCATCAAGACTTCAAGAAGGAGCATTTCTACTAGGCTGGCAATGCAGTGCAGATGGACAGCATGGCCTGAGGAGCCGCAGGCCCCTTGGTGGGGAGCTCCGGTCACTCCGCAGTCCTATACAAAACAGTCTTGTACTTTTGCACATTTTTTTGCACTTTTTTAATTATCATTTTCTGCTTGGTAAACATGGAAAGACAAAGCTAGGCCCCCATCATCTATAACCTTCATAATATTTTTCACTGCACCACTAAAAAAAGTTTGTGCTGGAAACAGTTGATAAATATGTCTTAATTGTTCTCCASCCCACAGGTTGAGCTTCTCAGCTCATCTGTAGGTGCACATTTTGGGGAAGTTGAGGCTGTTGTGCCGCTTTCCCATCACGTTGCTGTTGTGCTCCTGGAGGCTGCTCAGTGCAACYGTGGGCTCCATCCCTCATCTCCCTTTGCAGCAGAACTAGGTGAAGACCRGTGTGCTGGATTTGTTATGACCCTTTTCTGGGGGGTTATATAGCTCACTAGAGAGCTCCAAGAGCCTGAGGAGATTTTTTTGCATCATCGCTCGAGTCTTATTTCAAAACTCTTTTCAAAGACCTGTCTTTCTCATGCATGCACAAGGAAGTCCTCTGATACCTGCATATCCTGGAGTTAGCACTGGTTCACTTCCAAGACTTGCTTCCTTGTTTGATGCCATTAAAAATTATTACATTTTGCACTTGGATAGACCCTGGCCATTACTGCAGACAAAAGAGACTTCAAAACTAATGTTCTTCAAATAAAATGAAAATCAGTTATTTAGAAAATGATCTTTCAAAGATAAATTGAAGAAATCTTTGTGCTTTCAAAGTACTACAGTTATATTATTTTCCCTCTGCCAGCTTTTACTGGAAAGATGTTTTACTCATCCTGGGAAAAATGTCAATGTTTGGATTAAATCCTGGAGTGTTTTGAAAAGGTACAGTYTAAAGTAGGCCAAATTATCAGAATTTTCTGATGATACTGCCAGTAGCTTTTTGCAATTCTGCTGAGAAAGTGTGTGCTAGACGAAACAGTAGCGTCCAACATGTGCACTGCTGCAACAACTATGGGCCAAACCAGAGCTCAGGGCACCAAGCAGTGTGCACGAATCTATCAAAAGACAGATTCCTGCCTAATCTAGAGCATTTAAAACCAAAATGCAACAGTAAATAGCAAAAGTAGCATTTGCTGCCAGTGGGAGAGGTGGTAGGATTGCCCTTTCAACAAGATCCTTCAGGTACAGGAGGCAGCGGAGGTCTCAGCAGCTCAAGACCAGGCAGGGGCTGCAGCCCTTCCTGAGCATCACCTGAGCATCCCCAGAGAGCTGGGAGGAATCCTGCTCTCCTGCAAGCCCAGCACAGCCATCCCACCCTGAAAAGGAAGGCAAGGTGMAGTCCTGGCATCCTCCTCCGTTTCAATTCACCTGCAAAAAGTAGTTGTGCTCTATGACTGAAGGCAGCCCTGCTCTTCTTGTTCAGCCCATTATTTAGCAACACTGGTCCCTTTTATTCAAATGCAATTAAAATGAACTTTGCTAAGTATCTCTGATCATCTGGGAGAGGAGGAGAAGGCTTTTCTTTTTTTTTTTTTTTTTAAGCAACTACATTTTCCATCTGTATTTGAGAGCTGAAACTCTCAGCTCTCCTACCCACATAGGAAAGACAAAGCCCCAGTGTTTCATGACTCATGCGTTCACGCAATCCCAGTTGTACATGACTGATAGGGTTTTATTGCCGATTTTACTTTTCCATGTTTTGTTTATTCTACAATGCATTAAGCTCATGTGGGAATACTCCAGTGGATTTCAGCATTTTAATCGGGAGAGCTAGAGAAATACATCATTTCAGATT